TATTCACGGACACTAAGTGGTGGTTTATGATGGAGCCACGTTTGATATAAGCTGCTACACTGTAACTTCTCTGCCAAAACCCCACCCCCGCTCACTGGAGGATTCACTTGCAATTAAGCAATTTGAAGTTACAGTAGTTCTGTGACATAAGTCATAAGCCTACACACAAACAGAAATGACTGCCTTTATATTCACTTTTCTTCCACTGGCAGCAAAAGGGCTGTATTCAAAAAGACAGTTCTTAAATTCAAACTATTTGGCGGCAGCCAGTAGCAGCTTCCTAAATAACAGAGAAAAAAGTGTTCTTACTTCAATGTGTTTTAAACTAGGGCTTTAAAGAATAGCAGAAATAATTCTAAATGAACAGGAAAGTGTAACAGAAGTGATTTTCACTTAACAGTTTTATAAGTGATGCGTTACATTGACTTTTCAGAAAATAAAATCAAATGGAAGTGTTAGTCAGTTTAATGCTTCTTACGCTGTAATCTGTGTTTCAGAAAGATCAGTGCAGGGTTTAGGGGTACACAGACTCCTCTTAATCCATGCCCAGTCACTCTCAACTCCTTTAGGGATAGCCTATGCCTCTTAGATAGGAGCAGAGTATTTGACTTTTCAAATCAGTGACAAATTATGTTTTTCTGATTTTGATTCTATTTTCAGCCTTGTATTGGATACAAGTCAAGACAGAACTGGAGCAAATGTGAAAATTGCTGCAAGGAACTAGCATTCAGTAACATACTAAACTGCACTTTTAAAGAATAAAGCTACGTCAACTCATTCCAGGATACCATTCCCCTATAGCAGAGCTCTTAAGGGCAGAAAATATTATTTTGATAATGAATAGAATATAGTATCATGTTCTTTACTCATAATTAATCAAAATTTATGTCTTTGTGGGTGTAAAATTCATCCTTTAAAATGGAACACAATAACGAAGCTGGAATCAAAAGGAGAATGTACCATTAAATTTGCTTGTGATGCGCATATAATTACAGAGTTATATTTTAAAAACAAGGTCATAAATCAATGTCCCTATTAAGTTCCCAACATTTTATTATTTATCTCAAATAAACTGAACCCAGCCTGGTGACAAGGGCAACTGTTTGTTTTGAGAGCAGCTGGATCTGGCTCCAGATTTCTCTGATCAGAGTGCATAACCAAAGACCATTCGACAGCGGTTCAGATGAAGGAGGACAGAGGGACATCTGTGTTCTCTCAGGAATGTGATTTAGGAGCATGTTAGAATGGATAGGAGCTGTCTTCACAATTACTCAGCCTTGTGGGAACATCACAGTGATCAAAGGCTGTGAGAGGGCAGAGACAGTCACAGGGCAATATGCAGGGAGCACTCTTGCCAGGATCTCGTGAGCCGATGGAGCCACAAGAGCTGTGTGCACAGCCTGGGGTGTATTGCACTGGGCAGCTAAGTGTGGTCCCACCAACCAGCATCTTCACACCCAGGTACTGAGCACAGCTCCCCGACCCCACGGTGCCAGGCTGTGCCTCCACCTTCCTGATGTCAGGGCACTTGGCTACGCGGCAAACTGGTACTGGGGGAGGCAGCAGGGCAGCAACTTGTTCAGGACAGGCACAGTTAGTTTGCTGAGAGCAGCTGTGACAGAAGAGCTCGTCTCCTTGCATTGCTGCTGCTCAGCCTCCCTGCCCCATACACCCTGCTTCCCCAGCCTACTCACCAATGCCAACAGCGGGATGTGCATGCAGGTCTCATCACCACACACTTTTCCCCAAACTACAAAGCTGTTTTGGTGGGAGTTGAGCCCTACCATCTTTCTAGTTCTCACGCTCAAAAAAGAGAGGGTTTGCAGTGAGCACTTTCCAGATGAACACTAGCAATCCTTCATCCATCCAGGCGTGTTGGGAAACATTTACCAACCCACAGGAACATAAAATGATGTGCTGATTGAGGATCAGATCCCTACATCCTCTAGTATAACTACAGTAGGGAAAAAAAATCTCCAATAATCAATATAAAAGAAAAAGTGGAATATTGTGCCTGCTGGAAAGTGCCAGAAGCTGTTGTCCGGGAGCAAGAACGGGGTGGATTCAATGCTGCAACACAGCAAGGTTCACTTTTTGATATTTTCCCACAGTTCCACAAAAAAGTAACGTTTGTGCAAAGTCATACTCAGCTAAAACAGAGATGAAGATTATAAGTGATAAAAAAATGCAGTCATTTATTTTAGCAATATTTTAGCGTAATACATCTCAAATAGTTCATTACTGCATTTCATTCTATAGAATCTCGTACAATTGACAGTACAGCTGTACTATCTCATGAATGAATTGCACAGGAGATACATTTCATATACATTTTTGGACTATCACTCCTAAGAAGCAGCCTGTTTGCACAGCCTTCTTGCTGCTCTGCTCTATGGTCAGCCCTCTTGGTAACCTAAAGCTCTTTTTCACCTTGGATTCCCACTCCTTCCTGCTCTGTTCAAAGCTCTCCACATGCTCAGACCAGCTCTCAGTGGCTCCTGTTACCACTGAGAACTCTCTGCATGGTACAATAGTATTAAATACACACACATAATATTTCTTCAGTGAAAACACAAAACAATAGTTTATCGAGCACTTCAATCCTAGTCATTGCTGAAGGAAAGCACAAAAAAATATAGCTAAGTATAAACATCAGGAACCTGTAGCATATTTCAACTTTGAAAGTTGGGATGAGGAAAAATAACTGCTGCATTCATGTTTGAAGAGACAACAATAAACCTTGTAGGCTAGATATATAGTATATATCTATGTATTACAGTATATATATATCTGTAAGTACATAAATATGTTTATACACTTAACAGAGACCCCAGAACAGAGAGTATTATGAGATATGGAATGAAGATCTATTTATAAAAAAGTATTAGAGCTTTTTGTTTAGAAAGAACATCTGTCAGTGCTCCCTTCAGAGTTGCCTTCTAATTTAACAAACAACGTAAATGAATCCTATTGAATCAATTTTATAGGCAAAGTGTGTTTTTTTTTACTCCTAATTAAAGTTATTCCTGATTTATATCAGAAGATGTGAAAAAATAATCAGATCCAAAGTGTTAGACATATGGCAACTTGACTTGTTGCATGAAGGCATATATTCAGTATCACAGAACTCAGTAAGAAAGCACCAGAATAAAAAAGCATCTCAATAGTGGTTTCTCTGAGTGAAAAATGAAAAGGCAGGGGACCTGGTCCTTTTCTTAAACCAAGACTAGGACAACAAGACTTTTTCGACTTAATGACATTATGCCAAAATGTGTAAGATGGGAATGAAGCTGTAGCTACAATGCCAAGATAAAAAAGGTAAAATTTAAGTAATGTGTATCACATTAAAATTTTTAAATAGTCTATTTTTTGGCAACAAGAGTTGCCATAATTACCTCCCACAGAAACCATGAAAGCTGTTGTTTGGGACATGAAAACCAAGTAAGGTGAAATTTTTGCATTCTTAAACAAAATTTCTCTGCGAGAAGGGAAGAAAGAGGACTTGGATTCATCACAGTTTTATTCAGTTCTTAATTAAAGGAATGTCTTTATTTCAGAAACAAATTCAACAACTTTTCTGTAAAACTGTAATTGTCTTTTATAGCAATGTAATACTGGAGGTAACAGTCAAAGCTTAGAAAACACAAATACTAAGGTTACCTCAAAATACTGCACTGAACTACTTCTGAATACTTCAAATATTTGGGGTAACATATGCTCTAATTATACCATTGCATTACTATCAAATTAAATAGCATCTCTTTTTTTTTAATATACTAAAACAAGACAGGTCACCTGAAATATCATCTATTAATATCAGCATTATAAGACCAGATTCCCAGTGGAGAGGGAAAAAATCAACGAGAAAAGTCTTAACTGCAACTGGATAACTATTTCATGCACTAAAACTCCCATTAAACAGCTTGTCTACTCCTGTCCAGCACTTAAACTCCAAAGAGAAAAGACTGTATTAAAACCAATGCAAACTGAGAGTTGATGGTGATACAACTCATACGGAATTTTGCCGAGCTGCCTAATAATATAAAAAAAAGCTATCTGATGCCTCAATAGCAGATACAGTGGTCCTGCAGATCAAAACTACTTGTTGCCCTTAATGGTTCATGCTTAAACATATTAAACTATCTCACAGACCTAGCAAACATTCAGTTGCAGCTGGAACTTTAGCAGGAAATTTTAGCAATGACCACAGATATATGTACAGGAGTATAGCACAATCGTAACAAAAAGGCTGGAGAAAAACCTTCCTTTTTATGCTATTCTACGAGAACTCCTGACACTGATGTCAGTCTTACAAAATTATACCAGCATATGTTGCGGGCTCTCCCTGAATTCACTCCTGATGTTAACAGTACACAGACAATAGGTCTGACTCTCAAGTACAGGTGCAGCTATCCAATCATTAAGTCGTGGATTTCAAAGTCTACTTTAAAGAAACTGATCTGTCAGGAATGTCTGCACATCCATGAGGCACAGGGAAATCTGTTGCTGAAATATTTCCAAACGCACAGCCAGAACTTTGTTTTACCCTATTCAGTACAGAGAAGCCCTACAAATGTAAGAAGTTCGTATCCCCCCACTATTCAGGAACAAAGTGCACGCCATGCATCATACAGACGTAACTTTTTATATATTGGAAAAAAACCCACCAAAAACCGTTGCTAGTGCCAGTCATAAGCACTTTATGACTTTGTTTTCATTCAGAAAGAGACTCGGCACAAATGATAAACCCAGTCAAAGTGGCAGCTGCGCCTAAGCCTGACTCCCGATCCGATTTCCAGCACCGGGCTGCCGGGAGCCGTACTCCCGCAGGTTTGCGGAGCTGGCAGCCGGCAGCCGGAGCGGGCACGGAGAGGCAGCGGGCTCCAGCGACCCCGCGGGACCACCCGGGAGCGGGGCGCGGGCACGGCCGCCTCTTTCCCGACAGGGACCCGACGCCCCGGAGCAGCCGCGGGGGCGGGGGCCGGGCGCGGGGCACTCACCGCGGGGGCCGTCAGGCGGCGGATGCTCTCGCCCAGCGAGTCCAGGTTGACCCGCCGGCGGCGCGGAGCGCGGCGCGCCCCGTCGCTGGCCGCGGCGGCGGCGGCGGCGACGAAGGGGGTGTCGGCGGGGCCGGGGGGGCTGCGGCTGCCGTTCCAGCAGAGGCGGGACAGGGGACACTCGCCCTCCTCCTCAGGGCTCGTCTCCGGGCAGTCCGAGCCCAGCGAGCTGAAGGACTCTGACGAGATCTTGCGGCGGGACATGGTGCCGCGGGCCGGGCGCGGGGCGGCGGCGGGG